TCACGCTGCCGCTGCTGCTCCGCCGCCGCCGCCGTTAAGTGCAGGCCCCGCCGCGCGCCCCGTTCAAATACCCTCCGCAGCCAATCAGCGCGCGGCTCCGCCAGGCCGCCCGCGCGGGGCACGCTGGGAGTTGTAGTCCCCGCTGTGGGGGCGCGCATGCGCACGGCGCGTCCTGCAACGGGGGCGGTTTTGCGGGGCCCCCGGGCAACGGCGGCGATTGTGCAAGGACCCTTGTGCAACGGGGGGTCGGTGCACAGGGACCCCCGTGCAATGGGGTCGGTGTGCAGGAACCCCGGGCAATGGTGGTGGTTGTGCAAGGACCCCTGCGCAACAGGGGGTCGGTGCACAGGGACCCCTGTGCAATGGGGTCGTGTGCAGGGACACCTGTGCAATGGGGTCAGTGTGTGGGGACCCCTGTGCAATGGTGACGATTGTGCAAGGACCCTTGTGTGGTGAGGGGAGGGTGCACAGGGACACTTGTGCAATGGGAGCCAGTGTGCAAGGACCCCAGTGCAATGGTGGGAGAGTGCACGGAGACCCTTGTGCAACGGGGGGTTGGTGTGTGGAGACCCCCGTGCAATGGGGTCAGTATGCAAGGATCCCCGTGCAATGGTGGTGATTGTGCAAGGACCCTCGTGCAATGGGGAGCCAGTGCACGAGGACCCTTGTGCAACCGGTTCGGTGTGCGGGGACCCCTGTGCACTGGTAGTGATTGTGCAGGGCCCCTCGTGCAATGGTAGCAATTGTGCAGACACCCTCGTGCAATGAGAGACAGGTGCACGGGGACCCTCGGACGACGGTGGTGGCTGTGCAGGACCCCCGTGCGATGGGGGTGGGACCCTCAGACGACGGTGGTGGCTATGAAGGACCCCCGTGCGATGGGGGTGGGACCCTCGGATGACGGTGGTGGCTGTGCAGGACCCCCGTGCGACGGGGGTGCTCGTGCAGGCCCCCGCTATGCCGCTCTGGCCAGGAGAGAATTATTTTCCTCGCCGGCAGCCTTGAGAGCAAAACAGCCGCGTCCGATACCGCCGGGGGTTGGAGGAGGCTGAGGGGAGCCCTCATCGCTCCCCCAACACCCGAAAGGAGGCCGGAGCCAGGCGGGGTCGGGCTCCTCTCCCCAGGAACAAGCGCTGGGATGAGAGGGAAGGGCCTGGAGCTGCGCCAGGGCAGGTTTGGGTTGGGTACGGGGAAAAATCTCCTCCCCCAACGGGGCGACGAGCGCTGGAGCGGGCTGCGCAGGGCAGGGCTGGGCCCCCACCCCTGGGTGTTTAACCGCCGGGGGATGAGGGGCTCAGGACGGGGCTCAGCCGTGGCCTTGGCAGCGCTGGGTTAACAGTCGGACTCTGTGATCTCAAAGGTCTTTTCCAACCCAAACGATTCCACGATTCCGTGCTGCCCAGGGATGCCGGGTGGTACCCAAGGATGCAGGATGGTGCCCAGGGAGCGTGCAAGGGGGTGCCTGCGGATCGGCGTGCAACGAGGCGCTGGGCGTGGCTCTGCACAGAGCGGGACGGCCACGCGTTGGTGCAACAGAAACCCCAGTGGACGCAGAAACCCCCGCGCACCAGGAACAATCGTGCAAGCGCGGCTCCGCGCACCGCTGCTCGGGACAAGAAGGTTCCAGCGTGCAACTTGCACGCACGCAGACCCCCGTGGTGGGCAGGGGGGCAGATCTGGAGCAGGTTCCCCCCCCAAAACCATGTGGGGATCTGCAGAAACACCTTTTATTTTGGTTTTTTTTTTTTTTTAAAAAAAAGAGAATCCGCCTCCGCGCGTGCTTCCGACCCCCCTACCACCACGGAGGCGGCGGGGACGAGGACATTTCGGGGGTCACCAGCCACCCGGAGCGGCCACTCCCCCCCC